TGCAGATCTGGGCGTCTGCGAGCTCGCAGAAGATGCCTAGGCACAAACATGTGCACGGATCTTCATCTTCGGGAGTAAGCAAGGACAGGGAAGGCAGGGGGGGGGATGGGGAACGCGTGCAGGGGAAGACGCAGGGGCACGGTTGAAAATGCTGAGCAAGTATAGTAAAGAGGAATCGGGTCAGGCAGTGAAAGAATGAGAAGAAACATATTGACATGCGGTGCTGGGCCTCGCTCTCGATTCTATCGTACAAGATGCTTATCGCACGAGCGTTGACACCCTTTTCCGTGCCCGTGCTGCGCACGTGAGCTCCCGCCCCGGGGGGAGCTCACCTGCTGCGCATTGCAGCATGCGCGCGCCAGTGACTCAGAAGGCTTCCCCCGAGATTCCTCTCACAGGACCGCCTGATCTTGATTCCACGGTCTGCGTTCGCCTCAAATCGTCCTGATATAATTGCAGTGTGCTGTGCTCTCAGCAACAATACAACACAATTCTAGCTCGTCTTCTGGACTCGTTCTGAAAGAAATGTCGTACTTGCTGGTCGCATGTGTGTGTTTCACTTAGGTGATGCATCAAAACAGAGACGATGTTGCACGCGTGCGTATGTGTATATTCGCTTTCTGTGCCTGATAAGACAACCTGGTGTATGGCATGTCTGCTGCACTGGGCGCAACTTCCGCAAGAAACCGCGGAGTAGGTCGCGAAATAACCAAGGGTGAGGAAGACGACGGCGAGGACAACCAGTATAATCAAGAGAAGTACGCGTCTTGTATACCCGCCATGGCGAGAAGGACGATGAGGAGTCTCTTCTCCTCCTCCTCCTCCTCCTCCTCCTCCTCCTCCTCCTCCTCCTCCTCCTCCTCCTCCTCCTCCCTCCTCCTCGTCTTCCGCCGCTCGCCCTACTCTTCCTGACCTGCGCCACGCCTGCCCTGGAACAGGCATGAGAAGGAGCAGCAGCAGCCGCAGTCGGATCAGGAGCAGGAGCAGGACGGGAGCAGGGTCAAGAATCGCAGGGGCGCCCGGCAGCGCCCCTCCCGCTCGAGGGTTCGGCGGGCCTTCTCCTCTCTGGTCTCAATCTGGCTTCGTAGCTCCCTCGCGTGCTTGTCGCGCAGAGCCTTCTGCATCGCTTGGCGCTCACTCTCCGCCGCATCCTCAGCCGGTCGAAGATCCGGGAAGGAGGGAGGGAGGACAGGGAGCGAGCGCGGGAGGGAGGAAGGGAACAGGGCTGCTAGTGGTAGGCCAGGATGTAGGCGAGGGAAGGATAACGATGACGCTGGTAATGATGATGCTGATGATGATGATGACGATGATGATGCTGCTGCTGCTGATGATGATGATGATGATGATGGTGATGGTGATGATGATGATGAGGAGGAGGAGGAGGATGAGGATGAGGATGAGGATGAGGATGAGGGGGAGGAGGATCCGGATGATGAGGATAATGATAAGGATTACTGAGCTTGAACAAGCGTCAAGTCACTAACAGTCGCCAGGTCATTAACTAGGAACACGAAGTGTACCAGGGCGCAGAGAAGCTTCAATCGGCTTCTGACTGCCTGGCGTGAACTGTAGCCACGGCGATGCCATAAGTTCCCATACCTGTCAGGAGAAAGGAGGGATACTGGCAGAAGACAAACAAGAACCTGCATAAACACCAAACTTTGAGAGGCTCGAGTGGATTTCTTGGATCGGCGCTGGGCCCCCCTCCCTGGCAAGGGCGCCGTCGCTGATCCAAGAAACCCGCGAAGGCCTCCTGAAGTCTACGTGTATGCCGTCGTTATTTTTCTAGTTGGTGAATCAGCCAAGAAGGCTACCTTTAGGTCGGGCATGTCCCCCTACAGGCGGATTCTGAGCGAAAAAAACAAAAGTGGGCAAACAATGCACACCAACATACATACGACAACCAAAACAGATTCGTCCCTGGACTGTTGCTTGGAAATTGATGAACATTCCCCCTGCAGAGGGACAGGCCCCCGCCTTCAGGCTACCTTTGCCTCTTCTTGTCAGCCACCGCTCCTGCTTGATCTGCGCCTCCGCGACGCGCTCGAACTCGTCCCGCTCAGCCTTCGCCTGCTCTCCCATCCTGGCCTCCTGAGGACCGAGCCGGAAAATGACTACCTACCAGACCACCCCAACCCAACCCGAAGACCCGAATTTCGGGTTGGGGGGGGTAAGGGTTCCACACGAGTTTTTTCGATGTTTCCCGACCCCCCCCCCCCACACTGGAAATCGAGGGTAAATCTAAGCCTTCGGGTTGGGTTGGGGTGGTTTGGTGGGTGGTGAGAAAAGGCACAGAGCAACGACGCAGTCAAACGGGAGCACTGGAGTATTTCCAGAGTCGTGCTCCCGCATTCCTCTTGGAAGCTGGGCGAAGGCTGGCAAATACGTGGCTGCTAAAACGGCCTTCCAGGAAAAAAAAAAAAAAACATACTCTCGGAATCAGGCTCAGCGCACCAAATAGTAAACAGGCCGCTTCCCAGGAGAGAAACAAATCTCCGGAGCTCCGTTTTAGCAGCCACGGGCTTGCCAGCCTTCGCCCGGCTTCTGAACTGGAGAATTTCAAGTGTCGTGCTCCTGTACTCCTTCTTCTGGAGAGAGAGAGAGAGAGAGAGAGAGAGAAAAAAAAAAAGAGAGAGAGAGAGAGAGAGAAAAAAAACAACAAAAAAACAACAAAAAAAAGAGAAAGAGAGACGCGACACTGACGCTACATCAGGATGGGGAGCATGACTCTCTACGTGTCTACGCCTCTGGCGCCAGGCAAGCTCACTCCGCGTCGAATGGGAGCCTCGGGCCGAAGCGAGCTGCTCGTGGAATCGGGCCGCCTCGGCCCCGAGTCGGAGTCGAGTCGGATCGGCCCCGCCAAGATGCACGCCAGCGCCCATGCAGGCTTCGAGCCGCATCGGATCGCCGGAACATCAGAATGGAACCGAATCGGTCGTGTTCGGAATGGACCCTGCCAGAGGCCAGTCTGGCCTGCTGGCCCGGCTTGGTCTTCCTCCTCATCCTCTTCTTCGGCCTCCACCTTCCTCCTCCCTCCTCCTCATTCTCCTCTTCTCTCCTCCTTTCCCCTTCCTCCTCCTCCTCCTCCTCCTCCTCCTCCTCCTCCTCCTCCTCCTCCTCCTCCCTCCTCCTCCTCCTCCTCCTCTCTCCTCCTCCTCCTCCTCCTCCTCCTCCTCCTCCTCCTCCTCCTCCCTCCTCCTCTCCTCCTCCTCCTCCTCCTCCTCCTCCCCTCCTCCTCCCCCCTCCTCCTCCTCCTCCTCCTCCTCCTCCTCCTCCTCCTCCTCCCCCTCCTGGAGTCGGATCCGTGGGACTCCAGCGGCCGACCGATCCACGGTGGGGGCACCACCGAGAGGGTCGCGGGCTCCTCCGGGCTGCGGGCCTCCCTGGACCTCCCAGGGCTCCCACAGACCTCCCGCTTGTCCACGACGTCCTCGACCTTCGATCGCCCCTCCTCCTCGATCGATCCGCTCGAGGATCGAGGACCGAACCCCCTCGAGAGAGGGGGTCGAGGATCGGAATCGAGGATCGAGCCTTGCCGAACATCCTCCTCCCGCCCTCCCGCGATCCTCGATCTCCAGGAAGGGATGGTGACCCTCCTGGCCCGTGGCCCAGCTCTCCCGACTGCATGCGTCGGGGAAGCGCTCTCCAGGCGGAGTGCCGGGGACGCCGGCCTTTGTAGAGGCCAACCGCCCCGAGGCGCCCGAGGTGCTGGCACCCGTGCCCGAACCCGGTGGGCACTGCACCGAGCGAATGGGCAAGAGAGTCGCTCGCAACAGGTGTGGAATTCGAGACTGATCTCATGGGATCAATCTCGAATTCCACATCTGATGCAGAGGGCACAAAAAGTGATAGAAAGTCCTCCCCATACGATTTGGTTACTAGTTCCGATATATTCTCCCTGTAGACTACTTAGGGAGAGGGACATGCCCGACTCGAGAGAGCATGCCCGACTTAATACCGATCGAGAAGCGCTATCGGCACACCCCGGTGCACTGGCAGACCTGGCCCCCGCGCTTGGCCCACACGTCGCACCGCATGCGACTCGGCTGCGAGCGCGGGGGGAAGCACAGGGGTTCCTGCGTCTTCGGGGAGGGCCCATGCAACTTCTCAGGAGCCCCCCGGGGACTTCCGAGCCCTTCGAGAAGGCCCGCCCCCTCGCACTTCCACCCGGGCTCGCCGCCGAGCGCCGGGTCGGGCGAAAGGGGGGGATAGCAAAGGGGGGGGGGGAGAATCAGCTCGCGCAGCTGATTTTCCCTTCGCCTCCTGGCGCCGGAGGCGGCCATGCATCGGGGAACGGGCCCGGCGGCGAGGCCGAAACCGGCTGCATGCAGCAGATTTCGTAACCCCCCCCTTTCCCTATCCCCCCCTTTCGTTCGGCCCGAGAGCGAGGCGGCTCGGGTGGTCGGACTCGGTGCAGTCTGTGTCGGGCGCTGGGCGCTGAGATGTCGACGCTCCTTGCCCGTGGCTGCCCCTGGCGGGCCAGAGGAGCCCGGAGGCGAGTCCGCCGCCGTGCCCTGTGCACTGCGAGGCGTGGAAGCATGCCAAGGTCGCTCGGGTCGGGCCTCTGTGAAGGAGCCCAGGGACACACAAATCAATACACACAAGTAAACATATCCCCCATAGTTTCCCATATTTCTAGGGTTTTCGTCTTCCCCCCCCACTTCCCATATTTTCCCATATTGTAAGGGGGATCGGCGATGAAATTGTGTCTGTGTGTTTTTGTTCCCCTCCTGACTCTGTGCAGTCGAGACCCAGGCCAGCAGCGCATCCCTCAACTGCCCGAGACCCTCCGCCGGCCAAGACGGACAGAAGATCCAGGGGCACCCTCCCCAGGAGGCACAGAAGGAAAGACGCCATACACATCCGCTTGTGGCGCTGCGCGCGGACTTCTTGGATCCGCGCTGGGCCCCCCCTCCCTGGTGCGCGGAGCGCGCCGGGCGGCGCCAGACAGGCGCCGCCGGGGGGAGGGGGGCCCAGAGCGGATCCAAGAACTGCGCGCGGAGCGCCAACAGTTTACTCAAGATTTCGCTATAAAAGGGAGGGGGTCACAACCCTCACAGACGGGCAATTTCAGACCCCCCCAAACAAGCCATGAAAGGGCGGCGTTTTGCCCAGACCCACTGGAACCCTCCAGTGACAGCTCAAATCTGACCCCATCCCAAATCAGACCACCCCCCTTTTATTGTGAAATCTGGAGTCTGTTTATGGCGTTTTTGTTCTTCGTCGAAACCTCCCCAGACCGACCTCGCTCTTGTACCGCGGCCCGACGGCCGCGTTCTGAAGCGGGCCCCCCGCCCGCTCGGCGCGCTCGGCTGGGGTGCGCCGCTGCGGGGCCCCAGTGGTGCATGCCACCACCGCCTCCCCCTCCCGCCTCCCGCCTCCGCCCTCGTCTCCCTCTGCCTCTCTCTTCTGGGCGAGGGAGGGGAAGAGTAGTCCCTCTCCCTCTCTCCTGGGGGAGGGAGGGGGAGGGGAAGAGTCTCCCTCTCCCTCTCTCCTGGGGGAGGGAGGGAGGCAGGTGGTGGTGGTGTACACGTCGTTCATTTCCAACCGTGCTCATTTCTGATTGTGCTCGCTTCTCCTTGCTCCTGGCCCCCCAGGTGGCCAGGAAGAGGCCCAGGACAGAACGACGAGGAATGAAAGGCTCCTTGCCCCCCCCCCCCCCAAGAAAAAAGCCAAAGACCTCTTCGAGGACGTAGAAACGAACCATGTGTGTACCTCTGGGCCCCGAGGCCGCCCCCGCCCCCCCCTCCCTCGGGCTGCCCGAGGCCGCACCCCCGCGCCCCCCCCCGCCCCCCGCGGCATGCGGCGGCGGCGGCGCCGGCGAGAGGCCCGGGGAGGCCCCCTCGAGAGGCGGCCGCGCAACGCTCTCCGAGATGGGGCTGCCAACCGCCCGTGGGGGGACATGCCCGACCGAAGCGTTGGGCCGTCTCGCAGACAGTCTGGGGATGAGTTGTGGAGCACGTGTTAGCGATTGTGGGGGCATTTGTTTGGCGACCTCCCAGTTCTCAGCCGAAATCCGCCCGTGGGGGGACCAGCCCGACCGAAACCTTGGGCCGTCTCGCAGACAGTCTGGGGATGAGTTGTGGAGCACGTTTTAGCGATTTGGGGGCATTTGTTTGGCGATCTCCCAATGTTCAGCCAAGATCCGCCCGTGGGGGGACCTGCCCGACCGAAACCTTGGCTGAAAACTGGGAGATCTAGCAAAACAAATGCCCCAAAAATCGCTAAAACGTGCTCCACAACTCATCCCCAGACTGTCTGCGAGACGGCCCAATGTTTCGGTCGGGCATGTTCACCCACGGGCGGAGTTTGGCCGAGAACTGGGAGATATAGCAAAACACATGCCCCCAAAAACGCTAACACGTGCTCCACAACTCATCCCCAGACTGTCTGCGAGACGGCCCAAGGTTTCGGTCGGGCATGTCCCAACACGGGCGGATTTTAGCTGAGGACTGGGAGATCGCCAATCAAATGCCCCAAAAATCGCTAAAGCGTGCTCCACAACTCATCCCCAGACAGTCTGTGAGACGGCCAAAGGTTTCGGTCAGGCATGTCCCCCGACGGGCGGATTTTGGCTGAGGACTGGGAGATCGCCAATCAAATGCCCCAAAAATCGCTAAAACGTGCTCAACAACTCATCCCCAGACTATCTGCGAGACGGCCCAAGGTTTCGGTCGGGCAGGTCCACTCACGGGCTGAGTTTGGCTGAGAACTGGGAGACCGCCAAACAAATGCCCCTACATCGCTAAAACATGCTCAACAACTCGTCCCCAGACGGTCTGCGAGACGGACCAAGGTTTCGGTCGGGCATGTCCCAGCACGGGCGGATCTTTGCTGAGAACTGGGAGATCGCAAAACAAATGACCCAAAAATCGCTAAAACGTGCTTGACAACACATCCCAAGACTATCTGCGAGACGGCCCAAAGTTTCGGTCGGGCATGTCCCCCCACGGGCGGATTTTGACGGAGAAATGAGAGATCGCCAATCAAATGCCCCAAAAATCGCTAAAACGTGCTCAACAACTCATCCCCAGACTGTCTGCGAGACGGACCAAGGTTTCGGTCGGGCATGTCCCCCACGGGCGGATTTTGGCGGAGAAATGAAAAATTGCAAAACTAATGCCCCCAAATCGCTAGAACGTGCTCCACAACTCATCCCCAGACTGTCTGCGAGACGGACCAAGGTTTCGGTCGGGCATGTCCCCCCCCGGGCGGATTTTGGCGGAGAAATGAAACATTGCAAAACTAATGCCCCCAAACCGCTAAAACATGCTCAACAACTCATTCCCAGACTGTCTGCGAGACGGCCCAAGGTTTATGTCGGGCATGTCCCCCTACGGGCGGATTTTGGATGAGAAATGGCCCAAACAATACCCCTTAATGGTTACAAAACTGATCAACAACTCATCCCCAGACTGTCTTAGGCTATTTTTGAATCTTCCCTCCGTAGAGGGACACGCCCGACTTAACCCAAGATGTCACTGCACCGACCTTGCAGACGTGCTGCAGCAAAGTTTTGGCGTGGACTTCTGCCGATGCAGACCCCCGAAGCGGCGCGCGAGACACGAAGTGAATGTCACGTGGGTTTGTTTGTTTGTCTTCATTCCTGAGCAAAAACAATCCGCACGAAATTCACTTCAAAATCCGGAACGAAATTCTCCAGGACACTCCAGGCCCATACCATGGTTGTCCAAACGAAATCCGCTCTGCGGTGTTGGCGCCATGAAAGATGACCTCGAGACGGCCCACGAGGCCGTCGAAGCGTCCCCAGGGGAGCTCCTGCAGCCTTCCCGCGAGGGCCCCGAGGGGCACAAGCCCTTGAATTCCCTGAGGTTTTCAGTGTTTGTCGGCTCTCGCCGCTTCGAGCTTCCGACGTCCCAAGACGACCTCAAAGGCCACCAGGACAGCCCCAAGACTGCCCGAGAGGTCACGAAGAGGCCCCAAGACGGCCCAAGAGGGCTCCAAGACGGCCCCAGAAGCGCCCAAGAGCCCGAGAGGGCCCCAAGACTGCCGAAGAAGGGCCCAAGAGAGGGAAGAGGAACACACAAGTCGAGCCTTCCGCCCCAAGAGAGCCCAGGAGACCCCAAGACAGCCAAAAGAGGCCCCCAAGAGTCCACCAGGGCAAAAACCATTGATGCCCATAGGTTGTTTCAATGCTTTGGGGGTTCTCGCCTCCTCGGGCTTCCGACGCTCCAAGACGGCCCCAGGCCCCCAAGACTCCCCGGAAACCGTTCAAGAGGCCCCCAGGAGAGCTCCGGGACGACCCGAGAGGGATCCAAGACGGCAGAAGAGGCGCCCAAGACTGCCCAAGAGGGCCCGGAGGCGGCCCCAAGAGGGGCAGCGGGAACACGAGCCAAGAATGCGGGCCTTCTGCCCCAAAAGGGCCCCCCAGAAGGCCCCCGTTGCCTTCTCGAACAGCTGCCGCCCCGGATGCTGCGCTGCCGCGGTGGCGGAATCGCCGAGGCAGCGGGATTGAGTTCTGAACGGGTTTCATTACACCGTGACTTCCTCCGTGATGCAGCAGCGGGACGTAGCGCGCCAAGGACCCACGGGCCCAAGGGCAAGGAGGAGGAGGAGGAGGAGGAGGAGGAGGCGAGGGCGAGGAAAAGTGGAGGGGTCCTTCTCCGCGAGCTGCGACAGGCGCGCCTGCTGGAGCTCTTTCTGGATGCCGTCCAAGCGCTCCCGCTCCTTCAGAGGCCCTCCGAATGAAGATCCGAGCAGACTTGCAGATTGCCAGAAATGTTCATGGCCCAAGGTTCGCCATGAAGGAAAACAACTCCTGAGGGAAACGGGTCCTGGACGTTTTTGCCTATTGACAACATCCCGGGGACCTGCATGGGCAGTGGAACCGGCCGAAAACTGCTCGGGATGAAAAACTGGTCCCGGGGGAAGGCTCTGGGGTCCAAGGAGGAGAAGGAAGAGGAGGAGGAGGAGGAGGAGGAGGAGGAGGAGGAGGAGGAGGAGGAGGAGGAGGAGGAGGAGGAGGAGGATGAGGGGGAGCATGAGGAGGGTCCAGGACCCGTTTCCCTAAGGACCCAGCCTTTTCATGCTAGAAGAAAGTGCCCCCAGATTTCCGCGCATGCTTGAAGCCCCCTGAGGCCCTCCGGGCCTCGCTGTGGGGTGCTGAGGCCCTCGGCGGCCATGGGGCCTCCATGGAGATCACGGGAACACGTTTTGGCTGCGAGCGTTGGACGCTTTTGTTTTCTTGGAGGGACCGCGGAGGCCCCTCCACGCCCTGTGGGCGATGTCGGCAGCTGTGAAATGATGCGTCTGGCGAACATCGCCGGACCCCCTTCTGTTTCAGGGAGGGCAGGGCGCTCACAGCGCGTGCCCTCCATCGTGCCCGCGTGGCAGCCGCGTTTTGGCTTGCCGTCGTTTGCTTAATGGTCAGGCCGAATGGGATCGCTGATGAAACGTTTTGGCGCCGCGCAGAGGGGGGCAGGGAGAGGAGGCAAGGCGTCTTAGAAGCAGGGAGGGGTTCTTCTAAGAGGCATTCCCCCCTCCCCCTACCCCCCATCTGCGCGTGGTCGAACGCTGGGCCAGGGACAATCTTGGCATCACCCGACAAGTGGGGTCGGACGATCGCGCCGCATCGCCGAGGCATCGGCGACGTCGGCGCGGTCCTCCGACCCCGCCTGCTCGGACCCCACTTGGGAGGCCTGGGTCCGGTAGAAGGAAACAATCAGTAAACACCCCCCCCTGCCCCCCCAGACTCAAAGCTGGCACGCGCGGGGGAGGCTGCGGTCGAGGTGCAGCTCGTCAGACCCACCGCCAACTCTGAACACCGGGGGGAGGGGGAGGCGTGGACGGATGAATGCGGCACGAGCGCTCGCTGTTTGTTGCCGAGGCCTGTCCTTCCTCTCCCTCTCGCGGGCGACCCTCTCCTGGGGAGGCCGCCGACCGCCCGCCCGCGCCCGGTCCAGGCCAGGCCACCCCCGCCCGGGCACCCGACGCAGCGGCTATAGGTCCCCAGCGCAGCTCCCTGGAGGTCTGGACCCTCTCCGCTCTCCCTCGCTCGGGCGTCCATTCCTTGTGCATCTTCCGGTCTCGTGCGTGCTTTTCTGCCCCGCTGGTCGAGAATGAGCCTCGGAGGTCCAAAAACCGCCGTCCTGATTTTTGTTCAATGCGTTGGATCTCTGGGGTTGGCGAAGGCAGACTGAACGAAACTTTCGTCGCGGTGCTGTCGGGGGGGTGCGCCGACCGGGCATCGGCGATGCCTCGTCGACGGTTCGGCGACGCGCCCCCGACAGCAAGCCGCCCGCGCCTCTCCCTGGGCGGGTCCGGGGGCCCTCGGGCCCCTTCTCGGCGATCTGCCCGTCCCCCGGTGGCCGTTCGGGTCGTAGCAAGCGGGTCACTGGCGGCCGTTCGGGACGGCCCAGGGCCCCCCCCCCGCAGCGCCCTCGGCGCTGCTGGAGGGCCCCCCCGAGGCCGGAAGGCCGCCGAGAGCCCACGAGGACCCACGGAAGCCCCTCGAGCCCCGAGCGCCGAGGCCCGAACCTGTGTGCCTCTCCCACCCCCCTCCTTCTCGTTCCCCCCCGGCCCTCTCGCGTTTCTGGATGCCACGGCAACGTACACCCTAACAGTCCCATCATTGATTTACAAATGTGTTTGAAACGTGTACAACATGTTCTAATAGCGTTTCAGACGTGTGCTTGACACATTTAAAGCATGCTTGAACCATGTTGGGGACCTCTGGAACTCCTTTGGCAGCACGCTTCCCCTCCATTCGTCGACTTCCACGACCCTCCCGCGGCTCGGCCACGGGCGCGCGCCGCCCGCCGAGTTGCCTGGGCCCAGGGGGGCGGGGGGGGCGCGGGGGGGCGGCCTGGCCGGGGCCCGCGGTGCGAGCACGCGGCCGGCGCCCCTCCCCCCTCCCCGCGCGGTCTCCGCCGCGAACGCGGCCCGCTTGGCCTGCAGGGAGTCCAGCTCGGACGCCTTGTCCTGCGCCTTCTCTGAAGTCGGGCGTGTCCCCCTACAGGGGGATTTTCGACGAAAACTAAAAAAGACTCAAAACAGACTCACTTTTCTGTTTTTTTGTTGTTGTTTCGTTTGCTGTTTGTGTATATATATATATAAACTAAACATACTCCCCAAATTCATTAAACAAAAAATTGAATATCCCCACTGTGGAGGGACAGGCCCGACTTAAGCCTTCTCCTGCAGCCCGCGCAGCCGCGCCGTCTCCCTCTCCTTGGCCGCCGCGGCCTCCCGCTTCCTCTCCTCCTCCTCCCTCTCGCGGCGCTCCCTGTCCAGATTGTACTGCACGATCTTCTCCTCCTCCAGCCGGTCCGCGAGCATCCTGTCCTCCTTGATCTTCGTCGCCGCGGCGTTCACGGCGTTCACCTGCGGAGGGCACGGGCGCCGGCGCACTGCGCTTCGCCCAGGGGGCGCCCGTCACGACTGCGCCACTCCCCAGAGTTGAGCAGGGACCGACCGTCCCGGCATTTCTATAGCCCTACCACGATCTGTTCTTAGAACCCAGAAATGTTCGAATAACAAAAACACTGTTCTTAGAACACAAGCCCGATGCGTTAAAACAAAGCAGACTCAGCCAGAAATGTTCTAAGAACATTTCGTGCAAACCACAAGCACTGTTAGAACACTGTTTGGTGGGCCAATAGGCGAGCCAGGACGCTTCGCCACTGCTTGACAGAGACGGCGGCACCACTCGGGGCTTGTTGCGAGGAGGCGCCCCTTCGGCAACGAGGGCGTCCGGCCGCCGCCACCGCCGTGGTTCCGAGCTTTCTGCGGGCCGCTGATGGTTCCCAGCCGTCGCCGCCATGGACTTCCGGCCAAGGTCGACACAACACAGGGCGCCACATCTTTGTTCCTCAGGCGGCCGAGTGACGTCACCACGGCGGGCTGCTGGGGCGGGCCGCGCTCAGCGTCGATGCCCCCTGGCGTGAGACATAGGTGGACAGCGCGCCGCAGGTCGCGTGCAGAACAATGGCGATGGCTGCGCTGGGCGAGCACAAGAGAAACAAAAAGACAGCGTGCACCGTGCAGCGGAAACGCAGGGCAGACCAGGGGCAGGGAGACTGCCGAGCGGGTGGCACGCACGCGCGGCTCCGCCAGCGGAGAGCCGACGGCACCGCCGCGAGGCGCGGAGCCTGGACGCGCTCAGGCGAACTTCCACCCGGCGTGGCAGATGGGCGGACTGGATGGTGGCAGCCGCAGGCAGAACACGACTACCTACCAGACCACCCCAACCCAACCCGAAGACCCGAATTTCGGGTTGGGGGGGGGGTAAGGGTTCCACGCGTGTGTTTTCGATGCTTCCCGATCCCCCCCCACTAGAAATCGAGGGTTAATCTGCGCCTCCGGGTTGGGTTGGGGTGATTTGGTGGGTGGTGAGAACACGCGTGCATGCGGAAGATGTGGGACCGGCCGTTCAAAGGCAGGGGTCTTTGCCGATCACCGCCCGCTGCCCGATGGGCAAACACACACGCACACACACACACACACACGCACACACGCACACACGCACACACGCACACACGCACACACACACACACACGCACACACGCGCGCACACGCACACACACGCACACACGCACACACGCACACAGGCACACACACACACACGCACACACGCGGCACACGAACACACACGCACACACGCACACACGCACACACGCACACACGCACACACACACACAAACACACACACACACACACGCACACACACGCACACGCACACACACGCACACACACGCGCGCACGCGCACACGCACACACGCACGCACGCACGCACGCACGCACGCACACACACACAGACACAAGCGCGCATTTGTTTCTCCGACGCGCCAGTGGGTCCGGGTAGCCCTCAAAGCTAATTGGCTTGATCGTGAAGCAGCGTAGCAGGTCTCCAAACGCCTGAGGACCACACGTAGGCGGTACACGGGCAGAAAAGCCAGGGGGTGCAGGAAACGGTACGCGCATTTGGAAGGCGAACGCCAACAGTCACCACACACACACAAGCGCACACGCTCACTTCTTGCTCTCACGGCCGTGCGCGCGACAGCACGGCGGAGCCGGTCCCGGAGCGCGAAGCTGTAATTTGCTCGATTTCAGTGCAAACGTAGTTTGTAGTTGTAATTTGTAGTTGTAAGGAGAAGGAGGAGGAGAAGGAGGAGGAGGAGGAGGAGGTGGAAGAGCAGGGCAAAACTCGCTTTTCAGGCTGAGATCATCGTGACCAGGCCAGGCCGGGGAGCATCTGGAGCTGCCGTGCGCGCCGCCGCAGCTCTATCACGCGGTGGTCTCCACCGGCGGCCGTGGACCACCGTGCGCACAGAGTTCGCCAGGCCCAGAGATCCGACGTCGTGACTTTTTCAGCGCGGGGTCCCTGGGAAGCCTCGACCCATTCCCCAGGACCGGTTTCCCATCCTGAGTCGTTTTTGCACGGTCCCGGGGCCCGGCGAGGGCTCGAGGCCGCGCCCTCGACTTTTTCGATGCGTCGGATCTCCGGGGGACGGCGCTGCAGAAGCTGCGCCTGCCGCGTGCAGCCGCCGTGCTGCCGCGAGGGGCGCGGGGGGCAGGAGCGCCGGGGCGTTTGAGGCCTGGCCAGGGCGGGCCTCGGCCAGGAGCAGGCGCCCCGACCCTGCTCGCGGGGGGGCGGCCCGCAAGCCAGACCCCCTCGGGAACCTCGGGGTGGTCCCCACATGTTAAGTCGGGCGTGTCCCCCCTACAGGGGGATCTTCGACGAAGAACAACAAATTACCCCCAAAATACTCCCAAATGGCAAAAACATGCTCAAAAATACACTCCCGGGGTGGTCCCTGCGGCGGTGGACAAACCTCCCTTTAGCAAACCTCCCTCTAGTGAGAACGGCCCGGGACGGAAACCGACGGGCCTGGACCCGCAAGAACGACGGCCGCGACGCCCTCTCGCGAACCGAAAACGGCCAATTCCTCAATCGACGTGTCAGGGCAGGAGGTCTATCCACCTCCGATCCCTAAATGTGAAGTCGGGCGTGTCCCCCTGCAGGGGGATCTTCGACGGAAAACAACAAAATACCCCAAAAAATACTCCAAAATGGCAAACACATGCTCAAAAATACACTCCCGGGGTGGTCCCTACGGCGGTGGACAAACCTCCCTTTAGCAAACCTCCCTTTAATGAGAACGGCCCGGGACCGAAACCGACGGACCTTGACCCACAAAAACGACGGCCGCGACGCCCTCTCGCGAACCGAAAACGGCCAATTCCTCAATCGACGTGTCAGGGCAGGAGGGCTATCCACCTCCGATCCCTAAATGCGAAGTCGGGCGTGTCCCTACAGGGGGATTTTCGCCGAAAAACAAAACATACCCCAAAAATACTCCAAAATTATCAAAACATGCTCAAAAATACACTCCCCAGACTATTCTTTAACTACTTTTGAATATTCCTCCTGTAGAGGGACGGGCCCGACTTAACCCTAATGTGAGCGTCTCGCCCGTAACCCATCGGGGGCGCGCAAACCTGAACTTGATCTTGGGGACAGCCCGCAAACCAAAGCCCCTCGGCCCCTCTTCACGAGGCGACCAAAACGGAGGACGAGGGCGACGCCGAAGGCGAGATAAGCGCCATTTGAACTCCACTAAGAATCACCTGAAGAAAAACCAATACGCCTTCCGATGTGCACCGCCGGCGTCATCCACATAACTGTGGTGAGCCCACAGTGGTCCCTGTGTGAGCGTCTCGCCGTAGATCCACGGGGGCGCGCAAGCATGCGTTGGTCCACGGCTCGCGCGCGGTCGCCGAATCCCCATGCATCCCGCCCCCCCGCCCGTGCCCGGTGCTTGCCGCCTCGCTCGGCGGCGGAACCCCATCTTCCCCGGGCGGCCCCGTCGCTGGTCCACGCCGGGGATGATGTTTGCGAGGTGTTCAGTAAGTAAGGGCTTCGGAAACAAACAGCGGCACTCATGCCACATTCATCTGTCGACGCCTCCCCCTCCCCCCAGTGGAGAAAGGGCGGTGGGCTGATGATCGCTCGTCGACCGCAGCTCCCCCGAGCGTGTCAACCGCCGAGGGGGGGAGGGGGAGGTGTTCAGTAAATGTTTCCCTCTGCCCCATGTAAACAAGATGATCATCCACCCGCGGCCGCGAGAACGGTGCACACGTACTGCCTGTGATGATGACTTCGAACGCGCGCTTGGTGATGGAGACAAGGCTTTCAGAAGCGCACGAAGGCGCGGATGAATACGGGCTGGGCATCAAGAAGCCGAAACCGCCGACGGGGGCACGACGCCCTCGACGACCTAGATACGGAAAAGGGCCGTGCCAGCCATTCGGTAGCGCGAAATACTGTAAGAACGAGGCATCAGAGACGTTGACAGTGAGCTGGAAATTCCAAGCCCTACTTACGAATGCCCCAAGTGGGCGGATCCGGAGTCCCGGCGGTGCTAAGCGGCCCTCCGGAAGGAAAAAACAAGGCCCGGAATGAGGCGCGGCACGCGAAGCACAAGGGGCTGAACCCGGAAGGGCGAAGACAACTTCCACAGGGCGATTTTAGCAGCCACGGGGCAGGCTTTGCCATGCTTCCGACAGTCGAAGAGGGGGATGCGCAGTCATGCCGCGAAGCTTGTGGCGGTCGATTGGGGGCGGGGACGTCTGCGAACAAGCAGATGTGCGATGAGACTGGGGAGGCATCGGCCCAGCATGATGCGCCCCCCCAGGTCACCAGGAGGAGAAGAGCCCCCAGCCTTCCTCCTCCTCCTCGCCTCCTCCCTCTTCCTCCTCGCTCCTCTCCTCCTCCTGGCCTCCTCCTCCCCTCCTCCTCCTCCCCGAGCCTCGGGGCGGGCCAGCCTGCCTGCCGGCCACCGCCTCGCTTCCTGCCGCCTTCCTTACACGCCCTCCGTCCGTCCCTGGGCCTACGCCGCGGCAGCTCGGCGGCGCGAGCTCGCAGCGCCGCGCGGCGGCCACGTGCCCGCGGCCGCGCCCTCGCGGCCCCGGGGCCCCGACCGCCCGGGCGCGCCCCGCACGGGGTCGGGTCCCGGAGATCCCCCCGCGCTGCGTCACGACTCTTTCGCCTCCTCCTCCTCCTCCTCCTCCTCCTCCTCCTCCTCCTAGCGCCAGCTCGGCCCGAGCCCTGCGGGCTCGGCGCGAGCCCGCGCCACCGGCGCCCCCCGCGCCGCCCTCCCTCCTCCCGCCGCGCCTCCTCGCCCCTCCTCAGCGGGCCGTGATGGAGGTGCCGCGGCGGCGTCGCCCCAACCGGTCGGCCGCGGCTCGGCGGGCGCAGTATCGTCGCGCCGAGGGCCGAACTGTCGAGCGGCTCCTCTCAGCGTTCGCCGAGCTGCGCGGTCACCGCGGCGGCACCCCCACGCGCTTGGGGGCCGCCCTGGCCGCGGCTTTGGCGCCCGCGGCCGCGCCTGGCGCCGCTGCGGGGGGTGCCGACGGCTCCGAGGCGGCCGACCCCGGCACCGAGCGGGAGTTCCAGGCCGAGCGGGCGGAGGGTCCGCCTGGCGACGCGCCCCAGCTCGCGGCGGCGGCGGGCGCGGCGGCGACGCGCTACCCCGCGGTCGAGCAGGAAGGCGAGACCAGCATCGTCGACATGGTCCGAGCCCTCCGCGCGGAGATCGCGACGGCGGCCGCCACGAGCCAGGCGGAGGCCACCACGGCCGAGCAGGCGGCGGCGAGCGAGCGGGAGAAGGAGTCAACGGCGACAGATGTGCTGCGGGCCATGCAGGGCGGCCACTTCGGCACGGCTGCCGTGCCGTTGGGTGGGCCAGCTGCTGGCGCCGAGGGCGCGGCCCCAGGGCCCCTACGGGGGATGACTGCCCAGCCGCTGGCCGCTGCGGCGGGCTGGGCAGGCAGCGCGGCGCCGCGGGCCGCAGTGGAGACGGGGCCGCAGATCAACTGGACAGTGTTCGGGATTCCCTCGGGCGGGCCAGTCACAGAGCCAGTGCCGCCAGTGCAGCAAACACCGCAGACCGACGGGCAGTGCAAGCAGCAGTGATCGCTGGACGTTTCAACTCCTTACTGGTGCTCGCGGTGCGCTACCTTGTGCTCGTGTTCGCCGTGGTGGTCAGGGTAATTAGAGAGTGTGTATTGATATGACTTCGTCATTGGTCTCGTCTCGTCTCGTCCTCCTCCTCCTCCTCCTCCTCCTCCTCCGCCTCCGCCTCCGCCTCCTCCTCCTCCTCCTCCTCCTCCTCCTCCGCCTCCTCGTCCTCCTCCTCCTCCTCCTCCTCCTCCTCCTCCTCCTCCTCCTCCTCCCTTCGGGGGGCGTGCCCGGGCCTCGGGGCCGCCGAGGAACGACTCGGGATGGCAAGCCGGTCCAGGAGGAAGGTATACCCCCAACGAAGCGAGATCGCGGGCGGGCACGCACGCGCCTCCTCCTCCTCCGCCTCCTCCTCCGCCTCCTCCTCCTCCTCCTCCTCCTCTCTCCTCCTCCTCCTCCTCCTCCTCCTCCTCCCCCTCCTCCTCCTCCTCTCTCCTCCATCCTCCTCCTCCTCCTCCTCCTTCTCCTCCTCCTCCTCCTCCTCCTCCTCCTCCTCCTCCTCCTCCTCCTCCTCCTCCTCCGGGGCCCAGACCTCTGGGGGCCGGCGCTGCGAAAAAAACACGACGTCGGGGGCTCAGACCCCAGACGTCGTGATTTTTTCAGGACTCGACCCCAGAGGTCCGGACCCATTCCCCGGGACTGGCTTGTCATCCTGAGTCGTCCTTCGACGGTCCCGAGGCCCACTATAGGGGCACCCAGAGGCCGAGTATAGCGAAAAACCTGCCCCTTGACTCCTGGTGGGTTTCGCAAGCAGGGCGGACATTTCCGCCCTGCTTGCTGGGCGCCTTTGATGCCGACTTCCGCCCCACTTTGCCGTCGCTGTTTGCGCCACACCTCCGCAGAAGTATCCGCGCTCTCTCTCCCCGAGGTGGACACTTCCGCCGTACCGCTTCGCATCGTTGGGGGTGCCTTTCCGACGCAGCGCCAAGTCGGAACGTCAGCCAGAGCACGGCGGACCCGAAGTCAGGGCGTGCCCCTCCAGAGAGCGGTCCCCGCACCCCTCGCGTCTCGCGGGTGGGCGGCCCAGCCCCCGGACCCCCAGGTCCTCTTGCTCATGCTCTTTCTTCTGCTGCGGTGCTTCGACCTGCGGCCGCAGCACGCCACACCGGCAACGCATCCTGCGCGCCAACCCTTCGGTCGCCCGAACCCGACCGCCCGAAACCGAACCGTCCCGAGGCAGAACCGAACCGGAGGTCCACCAAAGGCGGAAAGTCCACCCAAAGTCAGGGCCGTCGGGGATCAACCGAACCGCTCGAGGCAGAGTCAACCAAAGTCGGGGCCGTTCGAAGCCGAACCGCCCCGAGGCAGAACCGAACCGGAGGTCCACCAAAGGCGGAAAGTCCACCCAAACCCAGACCCCCGACGTAATGATTTTTTCATTACGTCGACCCCCAGAGGTCCCGACCCTTTCCCCATGACCGGCTTTGCATCCTGAGTCGTTTTTTGACGCTCCCGAGGCCCGGTGAGGGCCCCCGGAGGCTGAAAATTAGGAAAAACCTCCCGTCATGATTTTTTCATTACTCGAGGGGGTCTGGGCCCAAAGTCAGGGCCGTCGGGGATCTTGCTCCCAGCGCGAGCGGGCCTGTGGGGCGGGTTCCGCGCGGGGCCTCCGCGGAGGAGCGCCCCGGGTCCGCGGGGCCGCGGCCCCGGCCCACGAGGCCGCGGCTGCGGGCAGGCGCCCCTCGAGGCTCAATTCGGGCCTGTCCCCCTACAGGGGGCTTGTCGACGAACACTAACGACGAGCACTACAACAAATACCCCCCAAATAGCCAAAGAGTAGTCAAAGAATAGTCTGGGGACTATTCTTTGAGTATTTTTGTGGCCTTCTTGGAGTATGTTTGGGGTATGTTGTGTTTTTCGTCGAAAATCCCCCTGTAGGGGGACACGCCCGACATAACTCTAGGCCTCCCAGATGGGGTCCGAGTAAGTGGGGTCGGAGGATCGCGCCGCATCGATGCATCGGCGTTGCGGCTCGATGTGGAGCCCGATTTGCTTTGCGCCGACGCCGCCGATGTGTCGCCCACGTCGACGACGCATCGCCAGTGCATCGCCGATGCATCGCCGATGCATCGCCGATGCATCGCCGATCCGGCGCAATCCTCCGACCCCATCTGCTCGGACCCCATCTCGGAGGCCGCTGGCCCCGGCCTCGAGGAGCCAGAACTGATCGAGGACTACAGCGCCGCCAGCGAGCTGCCAGAGACCCTCACGGTCCCGGACGTCGGGCGCCCAGCAACCCAGACCCCCGACGTAATGATTTTTTCATTACGTCGACCCCCAGAGGTCACGACCCTTTCCCCATGACCGGCTTTGCATCCTGAGTCGTTTTTTGACGCTCCCGAGGCCCGGTGAGGGCCCCCGGAGGCCGAAAATAGCGAAAAACCTCCCGTCGTGATTTTTTCATGACTCGAGGAGGTCTGGGAAGGAGGGCGAGAGGCATGGGGGGTGAGGCCCCCGAGAGCTGGCAGCATGTCTGTCGGCGGCGAGCGAGGGGAGCTTCGAGGGTCGAGGTCTTCGGGCGCTGTGGTGGCTTCCTGGCGGCTCGTCGCCCTCGGGATGCGTCCCAGCGGCTGCGCCTCGCCGAGAGCACTGCAGGGGTGCCCGCATCGCCCCGAAGGGCCGCCGGCGACCCGAGCTCTGGCCAAGAATCCAAATTCGGCGGCGCACCCGGGGGGAGGAGGAGGGGGAGGAGGAGGAGGAGGAGGAGAGAGGAGGAGGAGGAGGAGGAGGAGGAGGAGGAGGAGGAGGAGGAGGGAGGAGGAGGGAGGAGGAGGGAGGATGAGGGAGGAGGGGGGAGGAGGGGGAGGAGGGGGAGGTGGAGGGGGAGGGGGAGGGGGAGGGGGAGCAGGCCTTCTCAGAAGGCGGCGGGGCTTCTCAGAGTCTCTGCGGCCTTCTGTGAAGTTCTCTTTGTGCCACCGAGCGCGCTCCGCCACTCCCAAAGTGCCGACTCGCAAACGCCCGAAACACCCATGTTTGCTTTGATGTAACTTATCTCCCGAAAGGTTGGAGCGGGCGGCTTTGGGCCGTTTTCGGCCTCTGGGGGCCGTCGCCGGGCCTCGGGAGCATCAAAAACGACCCAGGATGAATGGGGAAGCGGTCTAAACCTCTGGGGGTCGGCGTTGCGAAAAAATCGCGACGTCGGGTGTCTGGGTTGCGACCTGAGGGGCCTCCGGGCTGCATCATGACGCAACCCAGCCATCCGGCTGCTCCCATTTTTTCGATGCGTGGGCCCCGGGGATCTTGACCGGCGTTGGGGGCCCCCCTGGTGGCGCCTCCGGCGCCGCCCCTGGCGTGCTCCGCGCACCAGTCGGCCACGCGGGGGGGTGGGGGGAGGGGGGAAGGCTTTTTAGAAGCACCCCTGCTCCTCAGAAGGCGCGGGCCCGCTCTGTAGATGTAAGGCCGGCGGCTTCTAAAGAAGCAGCCCCCCTTGTGAGAAGCCTCCTCCCCTCCCCCCACCCCCCGCTGCGCGCCGCCAAGCCAGGGAGGAGGGCACAGCGCCGATCCGAGCATGCGAACCTCTCACGGTTTCTGCTTGCCCAGGCCCCCGACGTCGTGGCCCAGACATGCCACGTCCTGATTTTTTCAGGCCGGCGTCCCCGCAAGTCCCGACCCTTCCCCCGGGACCGGTTGTTCGTCCTGAGTCGTTTTTGGACGGTCCCGAGGCCCGGCGAGGGCCCCCCAGGGCCGAAAGTAGCGAAAGGCCGCCCGTCTTGATTTTTTTTACGACGCGATCCTGTCTGGGGATGTTTCCGCCACGTCGACCCCCAGAGGTCTAGACTTAAGTCGGGCGTGTCCCCCTACAGGGGGATATTATCGACGAAAACTACAAAATACCCCCAAAATACCCCACAAAGGCCAAACAATATTCAAAACACAGTCCCCAGACTATTTTTGGATTCTTTTCTGATTGTTTTGGGGGTATCTCTTTTTTTTTTCGTCGACCATCTCCCTGTAGGGGGACAGGCCCGACTTAAGTCTAGACTCTAGGCCGCCTCCCCAGCACCGCTCCCTCGTCCCGAGTCGTGCCTCGACGCCCCCGAGGAGGCCGGGCGAAGGCCCCCCCCCCCGAGGCCGAAGCGACGGCCCCGGGAGCCGCCCGCGCCCTTTTTTTTCGCTTGGTGGGAGGCGCCGGCCTTCCCCAGGGCCAGACCCCCCCGCGCTGTGAAAGAATCGCGACGGGAGGTTTTTCGCTAGTTTCGGCCCTGGGGGGCCCTCGCGGGGCCTCGGGAGCGTCAGAAAACGACTCAGGAGGAGAAACCGGCCCCGGGGAGAGGGTCGGGACTTGCGGGGACGTCGTCCTGAAGAAGCCAGGACGTCGCATGTCTGGGTCCCCAGACCCAGACCCCCTCGAGTCATGAGAGAAGTCGTGACGCGAGGTTCTCCGGAATCTTCGGCCTCCGGGGGCCCTCGCCGGGCCTCGGGAGCGTCAGCAGAGAGCGACGCGGGGTGCAGAGCCGGTCCGGGGGAAGTGGTCGGGACCTCTGGGGGGGTCGACGTAGCGGAAGAAACACTACGTCGGGGTCTGGGGACGTGCGACGTCCTGAGTTTTGCAGGACGCGGCTCCCAGAAGTCCCGACCCCTTCCCCGGGGCCGGCATATTTCGTCCTGAGTCGTTTTTGGACGGTCCCTGTTGCCCGGCGAGCGCCCCCCTGCCCCCCCCCCCCAGGGGCCGGAGAAATAGCCCCCAAGCCGCCCGTCCTGATTTTTTTTTACGACGCCATCGTTTCGATGTCCGTTCATGGGAGCCGTGCTTCGTGGTTTGGGGACTTCTCTGATATATAAGTTGATTTACAAGATTGCCAAATCAACATATAAGCTGTGTGAGTCGGGTTTTTACGACGCCATCGTTTCGATGTCCGTTCATGGGAGCCGTGGGCGGCGGCATCGAAGCCAGCTGTTCCTGCATTTGGGCCGCGTTCGGGCCGCCTTTGGGGCCCTTCCTCCTGCTCCTCCTAGCCCTTCCTGCTCTTACTCCCCCCCCCGATCGTTCTCTGCGTCTCCCCCCTGCAGGTGCGAATCTGGTCCACGTGCGGTCCAAATCTGATGCCACATGTGTTCCAATTCGGCCCAGATCAAGCCCACGTCGGACAGCGCCAGGGGCCACGCGGGCTCCCACGGAACGGACACCAAACATCGTGTCTGGGTCTGGGGGGCGGGGCCCCCTGAGGTCTCGACCCGTTCCCCAGGGCCGGTCTTTCATCCTGGGCCGTTTTTTGACGCTCTGGGGGCCTGGCGAGGGCACTTTGAGGCCGAAAATTGCGAAAAACCTGCGTCTTGATTTTTCAATGCGGTGGATCTCTGGGTTTCTGGGTTTACGACGCGAAGAGAGAGCCGCGCGGCGCGCGGCGCGCGGCGCGCGGAACTCGTCGTCGTCGTCGTCGTCGTCGTCGTCGTCGTCGTCGTCGTCGTCGTCGTCGTCGTCGTCGTCGTCGTCGTCGTGGTCGTCGTGGTCGTCGTCGTCGTCGTCGTCGTCGTCGTCGTCGTCGTCGTCGTCGTCGTCGTCGTCGTCGTCCCAT